TTTTAGGGTTTTCCATATAAATTAACATATCATCTGCAAATAAGGATAGTTTGACTTCTTCTTTCCCTATTTGAATTCCTTGTATGCCTTTTTCCTGAATTTTTAATTAAATAGCCTCATGTGGCCTCTGCCTATCATATTGAACAGGGCTAGCCCTGGGCATTATGATTTAGCATGTCTAGGACTAGTCCCAGGATTAGCTACTGTTTTGTTTTCATTTTAAGCTCTTCCAGGTGGAACTAAGAACCCCTAAAGTTGAGGACAAATGTTTTCCTTGTGGAGGGTCTCTTCCGCTGCCTGGTGGTGAAAGTCAGAGCTGTAAAGGTCCAGAGGTGAAGGTCTAAGGATTTTCTTGGACTCAAAGCTTTAAATCCCACAGAGAAGAGCCTGTACACACCCATCTCCTTTCCCATATACGACCCCCTTTCTCACGCTTCCCTGGTGTTCCCAGTCTGCTTGAGGCGGAAAGCCTCCCAGGAGTCCACTCTAGTGACCCTCAGTCAGCACAGGCCAGTTTGTCTTTCCCTTGCCTCTCTCCCCATTTCTTCCCGAAGGCTCAAGCTCCATTTATCTCCTAGTAGTCCAAGTGCACTAGCTTCCTGTTAGCTTCTTGATCATGCCAGGCACATTTCTGTTTTGAAGCTTGCACAAATGCTGTCCGTGTGCCCAGAACATTCCATACACCTCACCACTGTCACCACACATGCTGAGCCCTTTGCCTTATTGAGGAAACTCAGGTCATAGAAATTTGTCTTCATTCAGCATGACAAAGCACCTGGGCAAGACGCAAAAGTCTGGGGCTCCCTTCTCATTCCCGCCAACTGACAGGTTTATGAGGGTCTTGTTCCTGTATCTTCCCACAGTACCTGTTGGATCAGACTGATGTGTTGGTGGTTGGTGTCCTGGGTCTCCAGGGGACAGGCAAGTCCATGGTCATGTCACTGTTGTCAGCCAACACTCCTGAGGAAGACCAGAAGTGAGTGGGGTTATAGGCGGTCAGAGGGAGGTGGGCATAAATGTGGGGCAGGGGAAGGGTTGGCTGGATCCTGCAAGTGGTGTCACTAAAGGACTTTGGGAAGTTGCTTCCCTCCATTGGCCTTAATGTCTTCATCTGATGAAAATGAGTGGGGTGCATGAGATAGTTGTGTTGTTCCATGGTCATCAGTCCTGTTTCTGCCTCCTTCCTGCCTGCCTCACCCCAGGAAATGGTACAGAGCCCAGCCAGAAACTGGGATGATGTGTTTACTAGGCCTTTGCATTAGGCCCACCTGAGTCTCAGCCCTGCTGCTCACCATCCAGTTGACCTTGGGCAGGTCACTCTGCCTTCTGGCATCTCACTTCCTCATCTGTAGAGTGTGTTCAGGTGGGCAGGAGTCAACAGGAACGTGGCACAGAGAAAATGCTCAGAGGATGTTGACTGAGAGACCTGAGAAACAGAGGAAAGAGGTCTGCATGTGGGAAGTGGGTTCTCGCCCAAGCTTGGGAAGATGAAGGATAATGTCACAGAGGGAGGGGGAGCATAAGAACCAAGACCCAAACCTTAGGGCAGAGAAGGAAAGGCAGAGATGAGGGAACGTGGGTCAGAGGGTGTCTTCACTGAAGAAGAACCATGATGCCTCATAGGAGGGATAGTAGCCACTCATAAAGCAAGTGCTGTTAACCCTGGACTCCACCAGTGGACATTGGGGGGGTCCGTGAACCCCCTAGCAGTATATGCATAATTGCATACACTTTGACAGTTAGACTGTTCTTCTAGGGAAAGGGACTGTCATTTCCACCAGGCCTCAGATGGGCTGATGGTGACCCAGAGCAGGTAGAGAAGCAGTGTTGTGAGAGTGGACGGGCATCCCCCAGAACCAGGCTGTGATGTTGAGCTGCAGAAGGGAGAGCACCACGGTGTGTCCCTCTGCTCCCGGCTCAGTCCCTGCCCTTCTCCTTCATGATCTGAGCTCTGCTCAGCTCTGCTTGCACCAGCTCTCAGACAGCATTCTTTCCCTGGCAGCTTCCTCCCACAGCTAACCAAATATCCTCACAGCTCTCAGTTCAGCTTCCTGAGCTAAAGAGAATCCTGTTATCAGAGCTTGTGTTTTGAGCCACCTCAGCCTAGGTATTATGGACTTGGGCCACCAGCTTTTGTTGTTATGTCTCCTAAATTTACCTCCTGCTTACCTTTAATAAACCAGAATTTTCTCTTCCACCCCCACCTCCCTATCCCAAGCCACTAACATCTCTCCTGGAGGAAACAAAAGCCTCCTGACTGGTCTTGCTTTAGCTCAGCTCAAGCATCTTGCGTGCTCGCCATGTGTTGATTGCTATTCTGGGCACTGGGGATGCTGTAGTAAACAGCTAGCGCAAATTTGCGTTTGACATTTTCATAGGTGAGATAGTAAACAAAACAAATATATTATTTGGCATGTCCGAAGATGATACAAACAGGAAGGAATTCAAGTGAGGTGGTGATGGGGCTAGTTACAGTTTTAGGTGGGTTGGTCAGGGAAGGTTGTTCTTAGGAGGGCATGGGAGAGCAGCAGACTTGGAAGAGGAGACCACTCCAGTTAGGGAGCACGCCAGGGAATGGCGAGCACAGAACTCTGGGGGAGCTCGCCTGGTGTGTATGCACAGTGGCATGGAGCCACAGAGCTGGAGCCAAGTGGGAGGTGGCCAGGTGACAGTTCCAGAGGCAGGTGCTGGGCATGGGGGTTGTGAGTCACTGTGCTCTTTCGACCTGCAGTCCTCACCGTACAGTGACCGGGGGAACGTCAAACCCTAGTTCTGTCACTCTTCCACCTGGCTCTTCAGGCTTTCTCCAGAACACCCCTCCCCTAAGGTCCTGTGCATCCTCTTGTCGCTCCCTGCCCCCTGCCTTCTTTCTGAGGCCTTTGAGGCCTCAATCAAGTCACCTGCTTCTGCCTGGAATGGTCTTTACTTCCATCCTCGCCATTTAAGCGAATTAAAGTTGCTTAGCTTGCTCCCTCTTTCCCTCACTCTCAGGCTGGTCACTGCCTTCTGGGGTAGCCCTTGCTGGGTCCTCTGACTGGGAGAGGAGAGCTGTACACCTCTGCTTCCTAGTGTCCGCCGTTATGAAGTCCCATTGATTTGTAGGCTTGGTCAGAGGTTCTGTCTCACGGTGTCTCTTGTTTGCTGCTCCACCCTGGTATCTGGCACATAGGGTCTTTGGTACAGCATGTGTGAGGGGGAGGGCCCCTGCTGTGTCAGATGCGCACTGCTATCTCAGGGAGGCGAAAGCTGGCCTTTGAGGAGAAGTCCTTTCTTTTGCTTTCACACATTGAAGGGGGTAAAGTCAGTTTGTCCACCACACAGTGGCCACATTGAGTTCAGTGGTTTAGGGCAAGGCTCTCCCAGTTTGCTCCCAGATATCCATCATCCAGCACAGGTGGAAATGGAGACCGAACTGCCACAAAAGAACTGAGATGCCAAGCCACCTCTCTCTGCGGGGGTGGCGGATGTTCGGTGCTGTGTCACCAATGCCCGCCACATAGCCAGGACGTTTGGTGATTAATAGCTCGCAAGTCTGTCCCACTCTGTGTCAGGCCTTCCTCTGAGGACTTTGTGTGTGTAACCCGAAGAGGTTTGACACTGCTGCGGACCTCGTTTTATAGGGGAGGAACAGGAAAGAGAGATTATGGAACTTGCCCGGAGCCACACATCAAGGAAGAGGCCAAGCTGGGATTTGAACCACACTGTCTGGCAGTGCCTACTCTTAAACATCTAGAGTCTTCAGATGTTTTGCTGAGTGGAGGAGTCCGCTGGGAGTAGGAGGAAGTGATGCACAAGCAGGGCAGTGGTGGGAGGCTGTGTGGACAGACGGGAACCACCTCTCACAGGCTTGTTCTGGGAGATGGTAATCGGGGGGATTCAAAGGCCGAGAAGCAGATTCTGATGCACCCCACCTGCTCTACTCTGCAGGGCATATGTTTTCCGGGCCCAGAGCGCTGAAATGAAGGAACGAGGGGGCAACCAGACCAGTGGCATCGACTTCTTTATTACCCAAGAGCGGATTGTTTTCCTGGACACTCAGGTGCTAGCCTCCACCATTCCACCCTGCTCCATGCCTCAGTCAGCTCCACCCCCAGTTACTTTTTAGCCAGAACCTTGCTTTGAGTCCATGGGGTTCCAGTCGAGCCATGGACATACTCCGTGCCCTTGGCAAGTTGTGTCTTAACGCTTAATCTCTTGGCACATTTTGCCCCTTACCCCCATCTGTCTTGATGCAGCAACCTGATGAACCCTCCATAGCCGTTACAAGTGTGGGCCCCACGGTGGGCCCCACCCAGAGTCAATCTGGGTCCAGATCCTGCCTTTAATTCTTGCCAGCGGTTGACTTTCGGTCAGTTCTGTCTTTCCTCCCAAAACCTGTTTCATGGTCTGTAAGTGGGACCAATCACTCTCCTCAGCCTCATAGGACGGTCACTGGAATTTAGTGGAACTATCCAGGCAGAGTGCTGGGCACAGGACCTGGCATGTGGTTAGCACTCGTGACACTAGAACTGACTGGTCACACGTGTGACGGCAGCCCTCCTCAGCTTCTTGTTCTCAGGCAATGTCCCTGTTCTGTGACGCAGCACACAGCTCGTGTGGCTTGCCTCCTTCAGTCTGGCTAGTTTCCCTACCCTGTGCTGTCTCCAGCCTGGTGGATACCCTGAGGCCTGGTCATGGTCCCCTCGCTAGGCTTCCTCATCCTGTTCCCTTTACCTGGGGCTTCTACCAGCTGTGTAATCGTGGTCAGGCTACTTAACATTTCTGTTCCTCATGTGTCTTAAGTAAGGTAAGCAACATTGCGTAACGTGTGAGATTTTTGTGGGGTTTCAGTAAGTTACCAAGAGTCAAGCTCAACAACAGCGCCTGACTTGAATTCTCAGCTGTTGGTGTTACCAGCTGAATACTCCCATTCGCTCTGTGAATGCCTTCTCCCCACGACTCCGCCGAGAAGTGTTACCCTCTCCGAAAAGCCCGCCATGGCGCTGACCACCCACCAGTGCCTGTGTGCCCTCTTTTTGGCCTCACAGTACAGTTCTGGTGTGCTGCCCAACTCCCCATCCGACTGGCACGCGTCAGTGGGGGCCTTGGCTGTGTTGGCCAGAGCTGGAGCAGAGGCCTGACCTGTACTGGGCGCTCACTGAATATTTGTACAGCAAAGTTCTGGTCACTGTGGATGTGGATGTCACAAAGGTAGAAAACCTCCCAGTGTGGCCAGAGACCTGTGTGCCAGCCCTGCAAAGGCCTCTTGGACTGAGATGCAGCCTGGCTGCCAGCTGGTCAGAGGCCCAATTGGGGCAGAGCGGAAATTCAGACAAGACAGGCTAGGGTGCTGCTGGGTGTTGGGAGTTTTAGAAAGTGAGCAGTTGGGAAAGCCTTTTTCTTAAAGAAGCCTGGTCCCAGAGCTGTCAGAGGCACTAGCTGACCAAGCCAGTTGGGCATTTGTGGTTTTTAAATGAAAAAATGTTCCTTTAAGAAAAGTTAGCTGAAAAAGAAAAGTTAGCTGAGTCACCACTGACTCTTCTACACCCACTGATGCAATTTTCAAAACCTTACTAATTCACACTAATAATTGCTTTTTCACCTAAGTAATTATCTTAGCAAAGTTATAAAACAACTAACAACAAATAGATTTTAAGGAAATGACTCATTCAAGTCAGTGTTGAAATTGTTAGCCCTGGATGAGTTCATCTCCTGGGCCTGAGACACGAGCGTAGTGCTGGTTGGGAAGAGGGCTCGGAGGTGTATCACCTTCTCTTGCTGACTAGTGTCGGACTAAATAGAAACTGCCTGTTTGTGTCTCTGACCTCATTTTTCCCTGAAGGACATGATGTGTTTGCCTTCAGTGCGTGGGACTTGAACACACTGACCCCACCCCCTTTCCTGACCCCTTCTTTTTCTCCAGCCCATTCTGAGCCCCTCCATCTTGGATCACCTCATCAACAACGACCGCAAGCTGCCTCCAGAGTACAGCCTGCCCCACACCTATGTTGAAATGCAGGTGAGGGGCTGCACCCGCCCATGGGTACAGTCTTACCCTCTCTGACAAGCTCTGTGCCAAGAAGCTAGACACAGGTTACCTAGCTCTGTTCTCTATGAGCCCTGGGTGTCCCAGCACCTAGGAGGAAGACAGCATTGAGACAGATTTGGCGCAGCCCCTGCCTCTACCTCAAATAAGTCATTCCCCCCACTCCTTCAGTTGTAGCCTCTACTTGGGTAAAGTTGGGGTGCATGTTCCTGCCTTGTCCAAACTGGGCTGGCTGAACAGGAAGCACCAGCACAGTCTGAACACTTGTAGGTGCTTAAAGCTCTCTCCCTCTGCCCCTTCTGCTGGGTTCTGGGATCTGGGCCCCCGATCTGGACAGAGGGGACCTTCGATTCCATTGTCCCTTTCTGCCCACTCTCAGTCACTCCAGATCGCTGCCTTCCTCTTCACTGTCTGTCACGTGGTGATCGTTGTCCAGGACTGGTTCACGGACCTGAGTCTGTACAGGTGAGGAGTGGGTGGGAGGGGAACCAGGTAAGAGACTGGCACAGAGTCTAAGCCACTTTGCCCAGGCCTCACAAGTACCACAGCCACAGGGACCCTTTAAAATGGAAGTTGGCACATACACTACCCCTGCCTCCCCCTCCCCCCAAATTTACATACTGTTCGGCAAAATCCAGAGCCCTCACAAGTGTGGTTTACTAGGTCCCGCCCAGTCTAGTTCCAGTCACTGTCCTGCAAGGCCTCTGTTAATGCCTTGTGGAGTTCACATTCTGATGGGGCTTGGGGGTCAGGGCTGTCATAGGGCAGTGCCTTGTTCATGAGGCAAAGTCTGCAGGTGGGTTTCTCAGAGCAGACTGCTACCTTGAGATGTGAGAAGAGTTTCTGCCTCTTTATCAGGTCCCATTATTCCTTACCTCACACAACAGGTTTATTTATGATTACAAATCAGGAAAAATTAGTTTAAAATAGCATATAGTGAGAGTATTTCTGCTTAAAAAATGCACATCAGTTGTTTATAGCAACTCTATTCATGATAGTCAAAACTTGGAAGCTTCAGGATGTCCTTCAAGAGATAAATAAACTGTGGTGCATCCTGTTAGGGGAATACTGTTCAGCACTAAAAGGAAATGGATTATCAAGCCATGAGAAGCCATGTGCGTTTCATGCAAAATGCATATGACTAAATGAGAGAAGCTGGTCTGAAAAGGCCCCACCCACATTGTGCGGCCCCAACTATGGGCCATTCTGGAAGAGGTAAAACTGCAGTGACAGGACATGGCCAGGGGCTGCCAGGGGCTGGGAGAGGGAGGAAGGTGAGTTGCAGAGCAGGGAGATTTTCTGCAACCTTATGGCGCAGCCTGTCACACATTTGTCCAGACCCAAGCGTGGGCCCTAAAACAACTTTGAGTGATAGTAACATGTGATGTGGTGTCATTTGTAACAAAGGTAGCGCTCTGATATTGGATGTTGAAAGCGGGAGCACCATCTTGTAGGGTGCACAGTTAAATGGGAAATCTCTGTATTTTCTGCTGAATTTTTGCTGTGAACTTAAAGATGCTCTAAAATTTTTTTTTTAATAATAAGAATTCATTAAGAAATGTGTATTGTGGTTGTGAGTCCTTGGATTGGTTTCTCTGAATTCCCTAAAATTGTGTGACAAAACTGGTGTGTACACGGCATGTTTTGAGAGTGATATACATGAGTCAGATCCACCAAAGGATCCCACCCACTCTCCCAGGCAGTGGGATATGGGGTACCAATGTAGAGCACCTACTTTTCACCCAACCCCCAAGGTTCCTCCAGACGGCAGAGATGGTGAAGCCCTCCACCCCATCGCCTAGTCATGAGTCCAGCAGCTCGTCAGGCTCTGATGAAGGCACTGAGTACTATCCCCACCTGGGTGAGGCTTTCTGAGAGCTAGACGTGGGCAGGGGTGGAGGAGGGGAGGAAAACCAGGAGCAGGCCCTTGAAGAGGTGGGAGCTGGGCTTTGTGAGGAGGAAGAGCTATAGATATGCTCCTTCCTCTGAGGACCCACTACCTCCATCCCACACGCATTGAAGGTGTGACGCTGAGTCTGGGTCCGACTCTGATCAGAATGGGAACCTCTTGGGAGTGGGGCCCAAGTCTGCTTGTTCTGGGCCCTGATGTCTTCCAGCATGGAGCTCCGGACAGGCCCTGCCCCTGCACCCTGTCCTTCCTCAGTCAGCCTCAGCGCATGTTGTTCCTTCGCCCGCTCTGCCCTTGCTCTGCTTTGCCAACACACTGCTCCTCTGCGCAGGCCTCCCTCATTTATGATGCCCCGCTCAGGGTCTTACCTGCTCCCTCTGCCTCACCAAGCACCTGGCTGTCATTCTGTGATGCTCTTGATTGTGGGGCTGTTGCCCTTTTCTGTCTTTGCCATCAGACTGGTGGGCAAACACCAGATCTCACTGACTTCTGGGTCCTTGGCATCACCCAGCACAAGGCCTGGTGCTAAAGTGAATTCATGTTCCATAAATACTTACAGATGATCTGAATTCAGGGCTAAGAGCAGATCTTTGGGGTAAAGAAGGGCAAACACATGATGAGGTCTGGCTATCTGGCCCTGTCTCCCCTCCCGCCTTCAGTTTTCCTACAGAACAAAGCTCGCCGAGAGGACTTCTGTCCTAGAAAGCTGCGGCAAATGCACCTGATGATCGACCAGCTCATGGCTCATTCCCACTTGCGTTACAAAGGTGAGGTCCCCAGTAGCCAGCAGCCTCCTACCTGCTGATGCAGTCCTATGGGCCCGACCCCCAACTAGTCTCCTGACCCTGGCCTGCCCATTCGTTGTCTACCTTCCCTGCATCTCAGCATGGTGTCAGCGGCTGAAAGACTGTCTCCTCCAGGTACGCTGTCCATGTTACAGTGCAACATCTTTCCTGGGCTCCCTGCCGACTTCCTGGACTCTGAGGTCAACTTGTTCCTGATGCCCTTCATGGACAGTGAGGCCGAGAGTGAGAACCTACCCAGAACAGGTCTGGTTCCCGTCAAGGGAGCTGGTACATAGGGAGAAAGGGTGTTCTCAGTCTGAGGGAGACACAGGCTGCCCTGCTGTGGGGGAGATAGGGCCCTTCCCAACCTGAAGCCTGAGGGAAGACTCTGGCCTATCCCTAAGGTACGCAGTCCCTTTCTTGGGAGCCTGTTTCACAGCCACAGAAGTACCCTAAGAACTTGGCCAGGGCTGAACTCAAAGGTGCTCCTGGAAACTCAGAATGCTGGTTGCCTGGGAGGAAGACCTTCTCCTGGCAGGGCCCTCTTACTCTGCCCACCTCACTTTCCAGGACCAGGCTCCAGCCCACTCTTCTCCCTGCTCCCTGGATACCGCGGCCACCCCAGTTTCCAGTCCTTGGTGAGCAAGCTCCGGAGCCAAGTGATGTCCATGGCCCGGCCACAGCTGTCACACACTATCCTCACCGAAAAGAACTGGTGAGAGCTCTTGGCAGAGGGGGTCAGTGTGAGATGCCCCCACCCGGCACAGATGGCGGATGGTCGTAGAGAGCTCTTCAGGTCTCAGTCTTCCCTTGCAAGCAAGATAGACCTCTCCGTATCAGGCAATCGTGACTTCATGTGATTATCAACCCTTCTGATGAGACAGTGGGTGCAGGTTTTGCTGCCATTTACTAGTGTAGCCTGAGAGGGGGAGCATCAACCATAGCAAGGCCACACCCATGGAGTTGGTTATCATTTGATTGTGAGTAGGACCATGATTGTGGTTAAGCTTAAGGAAGATTTACTTTCAGAACCGAGTGGAGTTTATTGCAAGGCCGGGAGCCCCTCCCAGGACATGGGAGCAGAAAGCCAGTGATCAGAGGAGCTGTGACCTCCAGCTCTCACCAGGTGGCTCAGACTTACTCTCCCTCCTGCTGCTGCTCCTTTGCCAGCTGATGCCTCCCCCTGCTTTTATGGCCCTGGCCCCCTCGTTGGCCCCAGCTTCATATGGCTTTCCATACCCAGAGCCCACGACAGGTCTGCCACAGGCCTAATTGGGTCTGGCTCATCTCATTTCCAAGAGAAATAGAAGTTGGGCAGAGAAATAGCATGGCTCCCCTGGGTCTGATTGCAGTCTTTTGTGGCCAGAGGGGCCAGACTGCTTGCAGCCACAGAAGCACCTCAGGCAGGTGCAGGCCACATGGGCCAGAGCTCTGCTCCCTGCTGTGGTCTGAGCCAGGGCCCATTGGGGAGGGCAGGTTGGGAAGGAAGGGTTCTGCGGCTGTTGGACATTTCTGACCTTCACAAGACTGGTGGAAGGTGGAGCTAGAAGCCTTGCCCCCAATGCCCACACTGAATGGAAGAGGAAGGAATTTAGACCAGAGGTGGGGGCTACAGTTTTCCAACTGGGCCCATGCACCTTCATCTTGGCCTACTTGGGGGTGAGGGAAGCTGTCAGACCTCCCCTCAGCTTTGGCCTCTGTATCCCAGCCCAGGAGGCTCTGTCTTCCTGCCCACTGAGGTTGTTTCTAGGCGGGGGCAGAGACAGGGCAGTTCTGATTGGCAACCTCCTTCCTCCCACAGGTTCCACTATGCTGCCCGGATCTGGGACGGGGTGAAAAAGTCCTCTGCCTTGGCAGAGTACAGTCGCCTGCTGGCCTGAGACCAAGGAGAGAAAGTGATTGAGGGAACCCCTCCTGGGTCCCCTGTGGATGAAGGGGTGCACACACGTCTTCCTCTACCCCATGCAAAGAGGAGGAAAGTGGCAACAGGCCTGACAGACGAGGTACCTTGACTTTCATGCCTGAGGCGTGGAGCAGGCCCAGGTGTCCAGGCCCAGGCCCTCCTGGAGTGGTGTGCAAAGATAGGAGGCAGCTTTGAGAGGAGGCCTCCAGGCAAGGGGCCGGCCGTTCTCCGTCCCCACACGAGCAGTCAGGAGTCTGAAAGATCTTTGGAAGCCCAGGCTCCATCTTTACTTCCCTCTGCAGAGCAAGACAACTCACCCCTCTTGCTGACTCAGCCCGTTCTTCAGGCAGCGTCTGGGGAGCTCTTTATTGGGGTGCATCTTGTATTTCAAATAAAAGGTCTAGCAAGCCTGTTCTGGTGGTATTCTTCTGTGCCTCCCCAGCATACTGTTCTAGGGTACAGGGAAAATTTGGGTCCCAGCCCTTGGGGATGGATAATCCTTGGCTTCCCTGGGAACTTGAGTTAACTTCCCTCAGGGACACATACTGTAGGTCAGAGTTGTAGGAAGCAGCTGACCAGTCTCTGCTAAGGAAAAGCCCGTAGAAAAGGGTGTTCTGTTTCCTGGGGTGACATCCAGCTCCCATCTCTGTATAGGTAAGACAATACAGTGTCCTCCTGTGGCTAAAGTCTGACTTCCAACCCTCCTGTCCTCTGTTCTTAGTGCTTTCGCACTGCCTTTGGCGAAATGCCTGTAAAATACAATGCTTACTTTCATACACGGTGAAAGAATAGAATGTGTCCCTTGTTAACTATTTAGACCTTACTGCCCTTATGCATGATGCCTACTATTGGCTAAACACTGGCTTGCTTCCTTGTCGCCCTAAATACTCTGGCTTAAAAATGGCCCCTACTTTTCATTTATATCCAGAAACCTTAAATAAAGTTAAACACAGTATCGTCCTCATCTGTAGAGTTAAATGCAGTATATAATCTTAGTGTTTCCGTAAGTAGGTCTTCAAATCAGTCTGACCACCCCCTCCACCACAAATCAGTCCTGACCCTCAAAATCATGCCACTCTCCTTCCAAGAAGCTCTGTCTGCCTGCCCAACAGTAGAATACCCACTTTCTACTGCCTCTGCCCCCATTTCCCCTGACCACTTGATCTTACCTCCCCCTACTCTCAGGTGTACCCACATATCCTGGTGCTTAAGTCCTGGGGGTCCCAGGGTCTTTAAGAGAAAATGCACAACTGAAGATGGACAGCAGGTGAAGAGAAAGCTCAGATGTCTGGCGGGGAATCTGTACAATTCTCTCAGAAGGGAGCTCAGTGGTCCCAGAGCCAGGGGTAACCGATGCTGACACCACCTGGGAGAGGCATACCTACGGGTCCTCAAGGTCCCTCACAGCTGGGACATTCCCCTTTCAGAATGCTTCTGAATTCTTAGCCTCAGTGTCCCAGCCTACACAGATAGCACCCCCCATACTGCCCCCCAGCTAGACAGCTTATCCCTTCCTGTCCAGTGCCACACCCCTGCCGCTTGCTTCCCTGGGGACGCTGGTTGTTGTGGGGATTCAGTAGAGAAGGACAGGGCAAGCAACAGCCTGAGAGGGCATAAGGCCCCGTGTACAAAAGCACAAGACAGCACAGAGCACAGGCTTAGTCCAGGAGAGTCAGAGATTGAGGTTTTTTTCTTCTCGCCCCCAACACCATCCAGCCTGGGAACAGATAGGGTCTCCTCCTAGTCCCTTGCTGCCACCTCCAGCTGGCCCAGGCTTGGGCTGGGGTTATTGACTGGAATTGACTGGGAGCTTTTGGTCAGAAGTGTGGAGAAAGGCCTGATGGAGCACGCTCTGGGCATCCCTAACTGCCACATCCAGGGCCCCACGGAGCATCTGGTAGATGGTGGCAAAGGAGATACCGCAGGTGGCAAGGGAGTCCAGGATGGGCACCTGGAGGAGCTCCTGGGTAAACGCAGATGCATTCTTTGAGGCCTGGCCCAGCAGTTCGAGCACCAGTGCCTCTGTGACCTGGGTCTTGGGGCCCTGTATCTCCCCTAAGATATTGCACAGGGGCTGGCTTGTCTGTTCAGCCAGCTTGATGAGGGAGTCCTTGTCCAGGCCAAAGCTGCAGCGATAGCCTTGCAAGGAGCGGGTGAGCATGGACAGGTTGCAAGCCACATCTTGTATACCTGGCACGGGACTCGGGTTGATGCCACAGGCCACCATGGCCACCAGCCAGATGTGCTGTCTCAGGGACGCCGCCTTCTTCTCTAGAATGGCCTCGGAGATGTTGGGCAGGGCCATCAGGAGCACATGCCGCTTGTGGCTGTCTAGTTCCTTCACCATGCTCTCCTGTAGCTGGTGGAAATCATACTTGTCCAACTCAAACATAGAGATCAAGAAGACCGTGGGGTCCTTCAGGCCCTCCACTGCAGAAGACAAGAGCACCAGTCAACGGACCCCCACACTGGAGCCGGCCCCGGTGTCCTGACAGCTGCCATGATGTATGTACTCACCAAGAGTCTGCTCAGCTCTTGGCTTCAGTGCGTTGGCCCTGGAGGCCAGGCAGCTTGAGCCTAGTACCCAGTCTTGCTACCTATCTGTGTGACCTCAGGCAAGTTCGCCAACCTCTCTGGGCTTCCATTTTGCCTTTCTTCCTGTGGATGTTGTGAAGGACTGAGTTCATGAAAATGATGTCTGACCTATGGCAAACCCTCATAAATGTTTGTGCCACGAACAGCAGGTGCCAGGGCACTGGCCACCTGTGGGGGGTGGCATTACTCTAACACAGCTGGTACCCAAGCCATGTAGGTGATTTGGCTCCATCTCCTGTGATGGAGAAGTTCTAATTCTTAGAAATGGCAGCTGGAATTACCTGAGTCCCAACTATTTCACCATGAAACAAACTTCAGTCACACACTATGACCTTGGGCCATCCCTTTACCCACTCTGGGTCTCAGGCAGAAGATACAAGAGGAGGAGCAGGCCAGCTCCCAGGATCCACCGACCCTGCCCCCCAGAACCTGTGTCTTACCCTGTAGCCGCTGCCTGCAGTCTTCGCGGATCTGGCTGAGCACCCTCTTCTCACAGAAGGTTCTGGGGCGGCGTCTGCGTGAAGCAGCGATGTCCACGTCCACCTTGGAGCGGATGAAGTAGACACGCTGGCCATGCTGCAGGATGCCAAGGGCCAGCTGAGCATGTTTGGCGGTGAAGCGCTCTGACGTGATGAAGATGATGATGTCGTAGCGGCCCAGCAGCACCCGCTGGAGGAATCTGTCAACCTGGAAGGTGGCTGTGCCCAGGCCCGGCAGGTCCCAGATGATGACGTTGGGGTAGTTGGGATGTGGGTACGGCGTGGGGTTCATAGTCATTTCCACCACACCTGTGCAGGCCGATCTAGGGTCTTCGTCTCCCAGCCCCCGGATGGCATTGACAAAGGTTGACTTGCCTGAGCCTGTCCCCCCAGTAATGCCAATGTCCAGCCTGACATTCTCCAGTGAATGGAGTGTGGCCTGCAACTTGGCGGCCACTGCAGGCAGGTCCCCATCCTCAAAGGCTTTCTTCAGAGCCCTGGTGTCCCTTGACACCTCCCATATCTGGCTGAGGTAGGACTGGAAGGAGCTGCTGGCCATGGCTGCCTGACCCCCAGTTCTCCTTCTTCAGGACTTGATGACATTCAACAGGTAAAGAGGTATGTTCATTGGGAGTCGCCCCTTCTTTCTCTGCACACCCAAAGTATATCAGGGTCACCCAGATTAATACTGAGGATATAACAAGGCCATTGCTCACTGCCTGCTTTTAGTTAACATGTATTCATCACCTCCCAGTTCTCCTCTCAGAGAATCTTGTAAGATTCTTTTTTAAATCGTTTTTTAAGACTTACTTATGCATATAAGAAACAGGGTACAGGGCAGAGATGCAGGGGGTGAGAGGATTCACCAGAGACAGAGTGGGGAGCAGAACAGGCAAATCTACTGAAATACACTGCTGAGGGGAGCAGCGGGTGAGACAGGAGAGGGCTGCTGCCCAGGGATCGAACTGGTGCTGAATGGCTACAGACAGCTTCATAGTGCTGAGACTTTAATCCCTTGTGTCACCAGGGAGGACCCCTCTTATAAGATTCTCTTAACAGCCTGGAAAAGGATTACCCTTAAACCACATTGGCACTAAAAGGGTCAGTCACTTGCCCCAGACCTTCAGCAAGTTGCAGGAGGTGTCAGAGTTGAGAGTAAGATCTTCAAATCCTGCACCAGGCATGTGACCAGGGTGGTGATGAAGAGCTGGGATCCTCATCATCACTGATAACAGTCATGCTCATTGCTTACTCAGAGCCAGACACACCCACATAATCTCAGTAAGTCCCTGCCTCATGGAAGAGAGAACAGGCTTAGGAAGGGAAGAGTCACTTGCTCTGTGTCTGACAGCCTGTACCAGAGCATGGGCCTGCTCCTTCTGATCCTTTTACCACATAAAATCTGTGCACAAGTGAGAACCCACTGTGTGCTGAGGTCTCAAGGGGTGCACCAGTGGCTCTGGAAACTTTGTGTAAGCAATGTCCTAGAGGGCATGTCTGTGTCCAGTCCCAGCTGTGCCAGGGACATTCAGGCTGATGCGGGGCAAATCCCCTGTGGTGTCTTCTGTGAGCAATGGGGCAGGGTGAAGGTGGGGGCTTGTCTTCACCTGTGAAATGGAGAGCAGACTCCTTACAGCTCTCCCAGCTCTGCTCTTTAGGAAGGCTGGGTTTTATTCTTGATGAGGGACAGGCAGAGACCAGCTGGGAAAGAGCTTGGGCATGAGAAGCTGGACTTGATCGTTAGCTGTGGAAAGTGAGGGAATGGTTCGTGGAGCAGGGCAGGGAGAGGTCTGCTGTGGACTTAAGAGCCCTCCTTTGCTTTAAGGGCAATGAGAGGAGCCTGGGAGACAGGCAAGGAAGGAAATGGGTGGAGTCTGTGCTGGGAAGAGGCTGGGAGGGAGGAGAGAGATGGAGGCAGAAAGGGTGGGACACAGTGACCAGTCAGCTGTGGGTGGTAGAGGGAGGGAGGAGCAGAAGTAACCCATTCTGTCTCAACCCTGGGCCCAGTGCAGTGAAGCTCATGCCTGGTCTGTCCATCTCAGCCCACCCTGGCCTGCAGGCGCTGTGTTTAAGATGTTGAGGGTCTGCAGGTATAGGGTGGGCTGCTTTTAAGAATGGATTTGGAAGGAACAAGGGAAGTCACCTAGAGAATTCCTAATGACCAGTAGTGATCATCATTACTGGCTGGTGCTGTGCATGGCTGAGAGTTGGGGAATCTGAAATTTCTCTACATGATCCCCCCGATGCAGGAAGCCTACAACCAGTCATCCAGGCATCACTGATGTGGAGGCCTCCTGGGAAGAGAGGAATCCTTTTGCAAAGTAGAGATCTTTAGTATGAGAATATATACCCCTTTAATCCTCCAGGTAAAAGTGAACCCTCTTGGTTTGAAGCTGTTTCTGGGGAACTTGAAACTATGGTTCAGCTGGAACCATATCTAGACCCTGCATTGCAGTTCTCATTTTGCCACTGACCTTGTACCTTGGAAGTCACCTGGTGAATTTCCAAAATTCACCTTTCGCTGCACCTAAGTCTGACCCTCCCTGGCAGGTCCAGGCTCAGAAACCCCTTAGGCCACTCTTGTTCTGTCCCACCTTCCCCACCCCAATAATCCAGTCAACCATTGGATTGAAAATGGTCAGTCAAACTTGTAGATGGGGCATCCTGAAAGAAAATATAAGGCAAGACCAGAGGGAGCTGGAAGGACACTGTTCCAGCCTCCGAAGGATGACCAGCAGCTGACCTCTAAGAGAAGCTGAAGACCTTAGCCAGAGACTAGACCTCTAATCCTGTCTCTGACATTGCCTGAAAGGAGCACCAGAGGCCTTTGGCCTGGTGTTTTGAATTGTTGTTTGTTGTTGGTGTAAGTCAACAACTCACAAAAAGCTGTTAATACTTGGTGTCTCTGACACAGCCTCTGGATGACCAGCAGTGACCATCTCAGTGCCGGCCAGTTCTGTTGGCAGGTGACCGGCACTCTGCTTACATCTCTGCTTCTGGTGGATACTGTCTGGGGTGAGACAGCAAATCATTTGTGGCTGCAGGAAACTGTTCCGCATTTGTAAAATAAACCCCATTGTTCCTAGAGCCGGAAGTGCCTTGTAGTTGTGCATGTGGGGAGAACCCTGTCCTCTCCTGGGCACTGCCCTTTGGTCAGTTGTAGAGGTACTGCTATCACCCTTGGCTTGGCTTTTGGCTGCTCTCTGGCATTCTACCATTTCATTACCACGATTCCTCTCCATCATAGATACGCCAGAGACTACGACCATCCACATTGACCTTCAGAACACAGCCTTCTAAAGGGGGACTACTCACTCCAGGGTGCTGATAGACACCCTGCCCTCAGGAGCCCTCTCCACCTCCACCCACATTCTCCCCTCCTAAAGCTCCATGTATAGGTGTGCCCAGGCCCATCTGGCCTCCCCTCTCCTTGCCATTTCCCCCCAACACTTACTGGTAGCAGGGCTGACCCAGGATGTCTGTCTCCCCACTTCTGTTTAATCCAGTTGCTAGGCACCATTGTGCCAATCCTGGCCACGATGGACTGCCCCTCCCCCACCCTCGAAAGTCTTTGAAAGATTAGGGTTCTCAGAAAGGGACATGAGATGGACACTAATTAGCAGGCCCCCAAACCCACTTCACCGCCCACTTCATCACCCACATAAGTTGACATTCAGTTCCTGTCTGGCTCCTGGCTGAGCTTTTCTGTTAACCCACAAACTTCCCTAGTGCTTCTTGGCCAGGGGAGAGATACCACCAAGGAAACCTAGGAGCATCCCCCAGACTAGGCACCTCTTGTCTTCCCAAGATCAAGTCTGAACCCAGAGTTCAGCCTATCATTTCTTTTTTGACCTGGGACCCCCCCACCCCAACCTCCCTCCAACCACTTCTCCGACTCTCCCCACCCCACCCCACCCCCGCTTGAGCAAAATAGCAAGTTCAGCTCCTTGTTGCCACCTCACCCCTGCCACTCCCAGCTGCAACCAAGTTTACACCACACTGGTCTCTTTTGTTTGGTTTTGTTAAAGCTTGGTTTGTGGGGAGACAGGGGTTGGGGACTGCACTTTTATTTCTCCTCTGACAAGTCACGTTTCTTCCAGCTTTCAAGAATGTACTTGAGGAGGAGGCCCAACTTGCGGCGGGCAGAGAGCGGGGCTTCCTCGCCGATTCCCTCCCCAGGTCCACGCTTTTCCACACCACTGTCCCCTGCAGCCTCCAAGCTGACCTTGGGTTCCGGCTCATCCTCCTCCAGGGCCTTGATGCGCACCCTCTGGGCATCCTCAGCCATCTCATTGAGGCAGCCCTGGAGCATAGTGTAGACCGTGCCGAAGCTGATGCCACCCGCCACCAGGGTACCGAACACAGGGATGCCCCTCTCGAAGGCACGGGCCACCCGCATGGCTCCATCAGAGGACTGCGAGTAGAGCCGCAGGACCGTCTCTGGCGACACCTCGTTGGCCAGCGGGGAACGGATGACTGAGCGCAGGTCCCCCGCCTGTTTGCCCACCTGCTCTGCCAGCTTGGCCAGCGAGTCCTCATCCAGGCCAAAGCTGCGGTGGTAGCCACGCAGTGAGCGGATGAGCAGGGCGTCGTCGTAGGCAGCCGCCAGCCCGGGCACAGGCAGGGCCTGGATGACCCCGGACACCAGGGCGGTCTTGAGCACCTGTTCCTGGAGCATGTCCTTCTTCTTCTGCAGGGCCTCCAGTGAGATGTCGGGCAGCGACAGCAGGCCTGCATGGCGCCGGTGGGCGGGCAAGTCGTGCTCCCAGGTGGACACGAGCAGCGGGAAGTCATAGCGCGCAGGCGATAGGTTGGACACCAGGAAGATGCGCGGGTCCGACACGCCGGCCATGCGCAGTCGCTCGGCGCAGTGGTCGCGGATCTCCTGCAGGACCGCGACCTCACTGAAGCCTGAGGGACGCTGGCTCCGGGTGGCCGCCAGGTCTTCGTCCACCTTGGTGCGCACGAAGTAGAACTTTTTGCCCTGGCGCAGTATCTCGGAGGCCAGGCGGGTCTCCACGGCCCCGCAGCGGCGGGGCGACACCAGCAGGAAGAAGTCATAGCGACCGAAGTCCACCTGCTTCAGGTATCTGTCGGCGGGGCAGCCGGGAGTGCCGGCCCCTGGCAGGTCCCACAGGGTCACATCCGGAAATTGTGGGTGTGGGTAGGGGGAGGGTTGCATGGTGGTCTCCACAACGCCCGTGAGCGCTGCCCCGGGGTCTTCGGCCCCCAGGCCACGAAGGGCATTAATGAGGGAGGACTTGCCGGCTCCTGACTCACCCGTGACGCCAACCTCCAGGCCGGGGCACTCGGAGGAGGCCAACAGCTCCCGGAGGCGAGAGGCAGCCTGGGGGAGATCACCTGACTCAAAGGCGCTCCGCAGGGCTTCCAGCTCTTCCTTGGCCATGAGGATGGTGGTCTCTTCCTCCCTGGCTACCGCTGGCAGCTTGGAAGCCATGGTCACCAGCGGTTCAGAGGGCGTTGGGGGAGGGAAGAGAGTCCCCAGACTAGGGTCCTCAGCGTCTGCAGGAGGTGAAAAAGGGAGCTTTTCCAGTGTCCCGGGCAAAAGACAGACACCAGGGAGGTAAAGGGAATCCCTCTGGGGCCGCCACGTTCTTCTCCTTCATTGAAACCCAGGGTAGCTTCCTCATACAAGGTGTCTCCCAGGCCAGATTTATATCCCACCTCTGCCAACGGCTTGCTGTGTGATGTGGGCCTATTTGCTTTCCTGGGTAATCGTGACTGACCTGTCTCCTGGGGTGCTGAGGAATTTTAGGGTAAGCTACAAAGGAGGCCAATTTTATGGGCAGTTTATGACCTATGATCACACAGGACCACACACCTAGAAGGCTAGTTCTTGGCTAACACAAACTTTGTTTCTTGAACCAGAAGCTCTGCATTTTCATTCACTACCAAGCCCTGCCATTGTACAACCAGGCCTGCCAAGGAAAGGGCTTAGCCCCAACTCCTGGGCCCAAAGGGGCCATGTGGCATGACAGTGAAAGTTAACAAGGACCCTGGTGTTATCCCACCTGCAACCAAATCCAGGCTCTACCACATACTCAGAGTAATTTGGGACAAATCACATAAATACTCTGCCTCACTTTCCTCAAGGGTCAGATGAAAAAAATCACTACAGCAGTAAATAACCTCCCAAGGTTGTTGAGAATTAAATGAGTTTATGTCACACACACACCATATCTAATGTATATGTATAGCACAGAGCACACAGAAGGAATCTGTTATCTGCATCATTGTCATTATCACATGTCACATTGATATTCCTAATTGTGTGGCTTTGAGGGATTTCCTGCCTTTTCTGAGCCTCATCTGCCATATGAACACTATGGAAACTAACCCTGCCCATCTCGTATGCTGCTGTGGCCTTCATGAGCCTCATCTTTCCTTTTCTAGGTTGACTATGAAACTGCTTGGGTTCACCTAGTGGAGGAACCTGGCAAGGGAGGGGCCCAGACAGCTGGGAGTCCTTGTTGAACACGGTGCTGTTCTGGCCCTTCCCACCTCCCGGAGCCCACATGAAGGTCTCTCCCCAGATCTAATCACCTGCCCTCATAGCGGAGCTTGATGGGCCCCCCTTCTCTACCCATTCACATTCTTTTCTCCTAAGTTGCTTATAAAACATACTTCCTCACTGTGACTCTTCGGAAAGCCCTGGAAAAGCTGCTCATGTCCAGGATCATTGTCCCCATCACACAGTGAGGGGCTGACACTCAGCCAAGTGATGTCTTGCTGAGAGCCATGGCCAGGACTCAAGCCCAGTTTCCTGGGCTCCATGGGTCCCCTGAAGAGCTGCCCTACCGCCAGCCCCAAGTCGCTGCCTCTCCCTTATCTTCTTGGACACCTTGTCCCACACCCACCACCAGGTCTGAGTCCTCTGTCCTGGAGCGGGGCCTTTCCCCACCCAGGCTATACCCATTCTCTCCTGTCCTCTGTCCCCTAACCCAGCTTGGGAGTCACAGGAACAGGGGGAGTCTGTGTCAAGTCTCAGTAGCAAGAGGCAGACAAGTCAGTGTGTAGAATAAGGGCAGAGGGAGCTGGGATGGGCCTGGCAGCCCCATCTTCACCCACCCACAGAGCCCTGCCCTCAAGGGACTCACCTGCCCTGCAGGCTCTCCCTGTCCCCTCACACTCTCCCCGCTGGTGGGGTCCTATTAGCCCAAGGTCAGACTGTTGCTAAGACCCATTATAATAGTAAGCAGCAGCTTATTGGTCAGCTGGCTCTAGAGCAATAATGTACCAGTGATGTCAGGGGGCGGGGTCCCAAGGTGGGGTGGGGACCACACCCTCCCACTGCTCATGGGCTCACACTGGGCCCCAGTCCCCCACAGGGGACCCAGAGAGACCTTTCTAATACTGAAACTTAGTTAAAACACGCCTGTGGTCTCTATCACCCTGGGACAAAATGGGGGTTTTTCAACCTGACTGTTAAGAACTTGGCCCTCCTAACCACTCCCCCCACTTTGTTTCTTCCTCATCAAGGGCCTCTGTTCCCCCAACAAGTCATTCACATTCCCCTCTCTGCACCATCTCTTCACCATCCATGACCACCCCCACCCCATGTCTGGTGTACTTCACAGAAAGTGTACTTCACATGGACGATGGTGGTTTAGCCTGGCAGAGCCAGCTGAGATGACAGAGAATGCTGGGGAGAGGGCACGCCCAACCCCCACCCAAGCTCATTCATCTTCTAACCCCAGCTCAGGTGCTTACTCTTTTGTAACACCTCACTGCAGTCTTTCCTCTTCCTCTGCTTCCTCACAGCCTTTGAAAATGGCATCAGGGTGACACAGATGGAGATATAAGGAGGGCAGTTTGGGGATGGGGGAAAAGCCTCACCAAGGAAAAATAGGAAGGGCCAGACAGGGAGAGAGTGGGTGAGAGACCAAGTCAGAGGGGGGCACAGAATGTCAATGTAGAGGCACCAGGTACAGAGAGGTGCAGAGCCAGAGAGATCAGGAGCAAGGATGAGAACCAAGTCACACGTGAGTGCTGAAGGCCTGGAGACAATGACATGAGGACCCCCAGCCCTCTGGAGGACACCCCAGGTCCCCTCAAACCCAGTCTCCGAAGCATCCAGCTGTCCTTGAGCAGAGCTCTCTAGTCCTTCTATAGCTCTTCACCCTGTCTCCTATCCCAGTCCCCTCCCTGCCCAGGCCAGGTGCCACAGGCCCTTCCCTCCCTGTTTCCTGGGGTGGAGGCCCTGCTCCTCAGAGCATTCCCCTGATGATCCTCAGGTCAGTATTAGAAAGAGCTGCCAAATATGGCCAGGGAGAAGGTGAAGGCCAGAAAGGAGATTCTCAAGGCCACCCCCAAGTGCTGGGGAAAGAGAAGTCTTATACCACAGGAGAGAGAAATACAGTTCAACAGCTATGCAAACTTTCATTTTCTCACTGACTCACACAAACACAGGGGATCAAAACATCAGAAAATATTCTCAGGCATTCAGAGGCCCAGACTCCTCTAAGTCACAGCAAGGACACTGGGCCCAAGAGGGAAATGACAGGCCCTTAAAGACAAGAACACCCATGGCCCTCCCTGGTGGCGCAATGGGTTAAAGCACAGCACTGAGAAGCTAAAGCCACTTCGGTATGAGTTCGATCCCCGCCTGCCACAGAGGTGACCACATGGCGGTGCAGACCTCTCCTGGCCCACTGCTCCCCTCAGCAGTGTACTTCGTCGATCTGCCTGTTCTGCTCCCCACTCTGTCTCTGGTGAAGCCTCTTGCCACCCCAAAGCCTCTGGCCTGTACCCCTGTATGCACAAATAAATAAATCTTAAAAAAAAAAGACAGAACACCCGCATCATTACAGAAAAGCCTGAGAAGCTCAAGCTTACATACGAAGCCTTACAAGTGAGATAGGCGGGCACACCAAGACTTGCAGACCTGGAGAGACCTAACAATAGGCAGAGGGAATGAGCCCACGACTGCCCGCTTGGGACTGCCACTTCTGTCCTTATTTGTTCAGCTCCAGCTCCTGAGGCCCCTGTGCTCCCAGCTCGCCAACCAGTGCCCCACAAGTGCCTCTAGTCCCTCAGGGGCTCCAGATGGCTGGCAAGGGAAATCGCTACACCCTAGGACTACCCTGAGCCAAGAAAGAGCCACAGTGCACCTGTGCAAATGTATCCCCTGCTGGCTGGCCAGGGACACCCTGGTCAACAACAAAAGAGAGTCTGCAGCTTGCCTACCTGCTGAGCCTCCTCTTCCCCTTCCCTTGCCTCCAGGGCCCATTCTGGGCTCTTGTGCTGGGGACTCAGCAATGTCCAAGAGTCCAGGCTTTGCCCCCATAAAGCTCAGAGTCCAGTGGAGAAGTCAGATCTGTCCCTAAAGTGACCACCCACAGTAAGCAGGACTGAGATGGAATACAGAAGAGCTGTGAGCCAAAGGGGGCCCCTGAGCCAGAGCAGTGTTAGAGGAGGGGACACCAGAGTAGATATCTGAAGGATGAATCGTGATGATGACAGCTAAGGAGCTGCATTCCAGGCTGAGGATCTGAGTTGAGTGAGAGAGCTTATTCACCCAGTCGTTGACTCAGGTGTGGTTACTCCACAAACATTCTTTTAGACCTGACCCTTGTTCCAAATATGTGTCATATTTATACTCCTGCTCTTAGAGAAGAGGAGGCTTGGTGGACCAACTGACAGGAGCACACACAGACAGAGGGGGTCCCTTACTGAGCATTTATAACATGCCAGAAGCTGCTGGAAATGCTCGTTTAACTGGGACTAGAATTCTGTTCTCCCACCTGTCCTCCCAAGACAGACATGAAATCCAGGAACAGACTGGAATGGAGGGGAAGAGACAAATGAGATGAATGCATTTATCCTCCCATCCCTTCCGCAGCTCCCATATATAATCAAATCTATACGGTTGCTTGTCAGATGCATCATTTTCAGTTCCTCTAACAAGGGGGGAAAGTGCAGCAATAAAACTCTGATGCAGAATCTCCTACTCACTCACAATTTTTATTTTACACTTAACTGGTAAAAGCTCCATGTAGATTTACTTGGAAAATAGAGATTGTTACCATATATAATGTGTGTGTAGTTAGGTAGCAAAATACAAGGGGACACAGATTGGCTAAGTCCTAAAAATACACAATCTGTCTCGGTGGAGTCACTTTCGCCTCTGAGCAGAGGACAGCCCTTGTCAAATCCTCTGTCAGGAGTGGTGGGAGTGCTGTTAAAAGCAGCTGCATTGTCACACCAGACAGTGGCAGCTACGTCATAATGGCCACCTAGTTGACAGTGATGATAAGGCACCATCCATTGTTTTGGCCCGATTTCAGAATTGCTAAAATGTTAGTGGGGATTCTGGGGGAGAGCAGGACAGAACATCTTCAAATTTCTTGCATGTCCACTCTTTGTCAGGTCAGCTGGGCACACAATGAGGCCCAAGAGAGTCTTTGCTGCCTCCAGAAACTTACTACGTGCCCGGGG